AATGATGATCATCATTATTGCTGCACATGTTTTTTAAAGTCAATGTAAAAATGATTCTTTGGCAAGATAATCATAATATAATAACTATAAGCTTAACATGATTACAATAACGTTCTGTTTAATTTATGGGTAATACTTCACCTCTTCTCTGAGCTCCTTCATCCTCTCCTCAAAGTCATAATCCTTCTGTTTCTCCTCCATTTTTTTCTTGTTCACTTCAAAACGTTTCTTCACCTGATCCAGAGTAGAACGCTCTACTCTCATGGACATACCAAGGTTCCTCTGATCTAGAAAAAGTAGGAACCAATTAAACATTTTTGGAATTGCCTAAAAATCTTATCAATACTTTAACAGGCAACACATGCAGAATGTATTGTTTTCTTGTAGGTGAGCAATGGTTTTGCACAAATAAGTAAAGCTTGCTATAAATATTACTTTGAGACTTCTTTTAACTCTGGTGTGTTTTTATTCATTCTCCTAGAATAATGTAAGGGTCCATCCTCACCCTGATCATTATTCAAGTCTATATACCAAGTTAGTTTAGTATTCCTGGGCTTTTGGGGATGGAGTGAGGCTTTTTTAAAGATGCATTTTAGAACACCTTCCTTTATAATATTGATGGTTCTGATAAGCTGCATAAATGACAAGGGATGAACCTACATTTGTTTGCTGCACTTATAACTTTTATTACAGATGGGTGGCTAAGCACTAGGCATTCAATCACATGGTGACTTGCTTGACAGAATTAAAGCTTGTGGGTATAACATGCTATGTATTGTAGTCTGGCAGACAGTGCTGGAGAAGAGCATGTGACCATGTTACACATTGGCATTAAAGAAAGGAAAAATAATCATTCAGTTCTGGAAACCATATTTATGGAGTAGAATGCTGAAATCCATGATTGACAAAGCAGATGACTTCAAAATGCTAACAACTGCACATGCCAGCCCCATTAAACAGACAGAACTGAACAGCCTTAGTGCCTGGATGAGAAGATGTTAGGAAGGAGGTTTGGATTTGTGAAGCATTAGAATACCTTTGGGAACAAGCCAGGCTTCTGCAAATGGTGTGTGTGTGTGACCCACATAAACCAAGAAGGTACCAGATTGCTGGCACATATTATTAAAAAATGTGGCAAAGCAGCTTTTAAACTAATTCGGGGGGAGGCCGGGTAAACTAACAAAATGTAAAGAGCATTTGGTATAGGAAGAAACCACTCCAAAGGATGCGAGTATAAATTATTATAATGGTTTTTTTAGGGGGGCAATGAAGATCTAGAAAATTAGTGTAGTTGATCAAGAAAGCCATATGGGAAAAATTAAATGAAGATATTGTGTGTAAGCACTTGTATGTAAATCCCAGAAGTCCCTTAGTCAAAATGAGATGTGTTTAATGCTAGAAGAGAACACAGTAATATGGCAAGTATTACAGAAATCAGGTGAAATGGAGAGAAGCAACTGGATATATTTTTATTGAAATATAAGTCATACAAAGGGCAAGAATTATTGCAGAGTGGTTCTATGTCTCAAAGAAGCAATTTGTAAACTAGAACGCAAAAGTGAAGCACACTCTTCCACAGAATCCATGTGTTGCAGAATATACTACTCTCTACTCCTTTCAGTGGGAATTAATAAACTCAATCAGTTTCAGAAAGAAAAGGACATCAGAAAGATATAGGAAAAAACCTCTGTGATTCAAGCTATACTCACATAATAAATGTTATCTGATAAAGACGGCCAAATATTCGGATATGCTAAATGTTTGTACCTTCCAAGAGATAGTGAAGGAATGTTAACAGATTAACAGAGATGGAAGGGACCTTGTAGGTCATCTAGTCTAACCCCCCCGGCCAAACAAGAGACCCTTGAAAGCCTCTAGTGATGAAGCTCCCACGACTTCCGAACACAAGCTGTTCCATTGGTTGATTGTTCTCATTGTCAGAAAATTTCTCCTTATTTCTAGGTTGAATCTCTCCTTGTTCAGTTTCCATCCATTATTCCTTGTCTGGACTTCAGGTGCTTTGGAAAATAGCTTGACCTCTTCCTCTCTGTGGCAGCCCCTCAAATATTGGAACACTGCTATCATGTCTCCATGGTCCTTTTCTTCACTAGACTAACCATGCCCAGTTTCTGTAACCGTTCTTCATATGTTTTAGTCTCCAGTCCCCTAATCATCCTGGTTGCTCTTCTCTGGATTTTTTCTAGAGTCTCACCATCTTTTTTACAGTGTGGTGACCAAAACTGTACGCAGGTCTGGTCTTACTAAGGCTTTATAGAGTGGTATTAGTACCTCACTTGATCTTGATTTTGTCCCTCTGTTGCAACTTAGGATTCTATTGGCTTTTTTGGCTGCTGCCGCACACTGCTGGCTCATATTTAACTGGTTGCCCACTAAGGCTCCAAGATCCCTCTCTCTGTTACTGCTATTGAGCCCGGTTTCACCCAATCTATATGTGGTTTGGTTTTTCTTGCCTAGGTGTAAGACTTTACTTTTCTCTACGTTGAATTTCATTTTGTTAGCTAGGGCCCAGGGTTCAAGTATGTCAAGATCTATCTGGATTTTGAGCCTATTATCTAGAGTGTTAGCTACTCCTGCCAGCTTAGTATCATCTGCAAATTTGGTAAATTCCCCTTCTATTCCCTCATCCAAGTCATTTTGGCCTAAGACCAGATCTTGTGGTACCTCACTGCTTATTTCCCTTATGTAGACGTAGATCCATTAAGGCAGGGGTCCTCAAACTTTTTGAACAGGGAGCCGATTCATGGTCCCTCACACTGTTGGAGGGGGGCTGGACCAGCTGGTGGTCATGGCTAGGTAGTCATGTGACTGGGTGGAGGTGGCCAATTTAGCAGTCCATTTTGCCTTTGTCCTTGCTGTACTTGCTCAACCCAAGGAATCTATTTACCTGGCTCCCCCAAAGAGAAAATGAGCACAAACTTTCTTGCCACTTGCCTAACTTCATTACAACAGCAGCTTCAGGCTCCTTAAAATAGGCCATTAAAAAATAATACAACAAACAGGATTTCCTTCAAAATAACTCCTGATCATATGTTTCAGATGACTACACAATAAACCAATAAATAAGCAGGCAGAAGAAGGCGAGAATCAACACACACACACACACACACACACACCCTCCAATGGTGAATTAAGGAGGGATAATGGTCTCTCAAGACTGTTGGGGACCGGACTATAGTTTGAAAAAAACATGAACAAATTTCTATGAACACTGCACATATCTTCATTTATAGTGCAAAAAACTATGAAATAATACAATATTTAAAATGAAGAACAATTTTAACCAATATAAATATACTACTAATTCAATGGGAAGTGTGGGCCTTCTTATTTGGGATTACAGGGCTAAAGGTCTTTTAAGCCTAAAGGAGAATTTAGACAATGATTTGATTTTTGCCACACTTGTCATGTGTATATACACTCATGAATATGTACCAAAGTTGTTCAGCAACCAATTTTGTGGATGCGCTTTATATATGGGAAGAATCAAAGCAGTGGGTGAATTCTCCTTCAGGCATTATACTGCAGTTGCATTTTAATTAATGTTAGCCAACTTCAGTTGATTTTGAAAAAGCTAGGAGACATGGATACGTCACCCACCCACCCACTTTTAAAGCGCTACTTTAAAAGCAGCCCCTTCCCTACTCACCCACCGGCCCTGGATCACATGGCTGTGAAAAACATCTGAAAGGCTGCTTTTGAAGTGTTTTTAAAGACTTTTAACATGCTACTTTACAAGCTGGCAGCTGCTCTTCATTCCACCACTTCACAGGCCAAATACTTTGCATTTGCGGGCCTATATGGCACACAGGCCGTAGTTTGAGGATGCCTGCATTAAGGACTACTCATTGAGTACAGTTTGTCAGCCAGTTATAAATCCATCTGGTGGTGATGCTATCTATCCCACGTTTTTCTATCTTAACCAAGAAGTAGGTTGTGGACTACTTTGTCAAATGCAGTTTAAGTATATTGTGTCCACAGTATTTTGCTGTTCTACTAATTTAGTCACTATGTTGAAGAATGAAATAAGATTGGTTTGGCATGATCTGTTTTTAACAAACCCGTGCTGACTGCTATTTATTACTTTACTCATTTCTAAATGTTGGCAGATCTGTTTTTTTTAATTATCTTTTCCAGTATCTTCCAGGGTATTGATGTTAGGTCTGTAGTTTCCGGGGGGAGGTTCCTTCCTTTTTTGAAGATGGGAACCACATCAGCTCTTTTCCAGTCCTCTGGTAGTTCCCCGGTGCTCCAGGATTTTTGAAAGATGTGGTACAGTGGTTCTGAGATGACATCTGCCAGCTCCTATAGAATTCTGGGATGTAATCCATCAGGTCCCATTGATTTGTATTCATCAAGATCAGATAGGTGTTCTCTTACTATTTTTTTGCTTATTTAAAGTTTTATTTCTAGTCTGACTTTTATGGTTATGTTTTTGGTAGGTTGGGCTGTAGTTTCTTTTTGCATGAAGACCAAAGCAAAGAATGAGTAAAGCAGTTCTGTTTTCTCCTTGCTGCCTGTTACTTCCTTGCTATCTTCTCTCTTTAGTCGACTGACAGTTTCCTTGATTTTTTTTTCTTGTTATTTATATGTTGGAAGAAACTTTTTATTATTATCTTTGACTTTTTTTGCAAGTCTTTGTCCATTCTGAGCCTTTGCTTTCCTGACTTCAAACTTTGCAGATTCCGGCTATCTGCTAATATTTTGCCTTAATTGTGTGACCCCCCTTCCTTTTTTTTGTACTTGTCCTTTTTTTCTTTCAATTTGCCAGAGAGATCTTTGTCTAGCTATGCTGGTTTCTTCTTGGATTTCTTGTTTTTCTTTTTCAATGGTATTGTGTTAGTCTGGTCTTTTATAATAATATTTCCCAGAGTTTCCCGTGATTCTTGAGTTGTTTTCCCCTT